ATATATATATATATATGCTTCATTTTCTCCAGATTCTAAGTTTCTCAAGAACAGGTTCTTGTCAGGTGGATCTCTTCATCTGCCACATGGCTTACAAAATTATTTTTCAACACAAAAATGCTTGATAAGTGTTTGTTGAAATAAAGTGATTATTGCAATGATACAAAATTTACTATTTATAGCAAGACTTCAAAACTAAACTGGAAATTTTTTTTTTTAATTTTTTTTTTTAACGTTTATTTATTTTTTTGGGACAGAGAGAGACAGAGCATGAATGGGGGAGGGGCAGAGAGAGAGGGAGACACAGAATCAGAAACAGGCTCCAGGCTCTGAGCCATCAGCCCAGAGCCCGACGCGGGGCTCGAACTCACGGACCGGGAGATCGTGACCTGGCTGAAGTCAGACGCTTAACCAACTGCGCCACCCAGGCGCCCCTAAACTGGAAATTTTAAAACAACTGGTACTACATTTCATTTAACTATGATGCATCTCAGCAAGTGATAAATCTTACATTAATAGAAGAATTTAAGATTCATGGCTACTTTTATTTATATTCAGCTGGGTACTCAAGTACGTGTTAAATGATCCAATTTGAAAAGTTCCAATCTCTTAAAGTTACAGCCCTTCTATCAGACACTCAGGGTTATCTACTTTTCTGGTCATCACTCTGACTTATCACTTTAACCTTTTTAAATTCTTCTAGTTTTTTACAGAATGCATTTTAGCATTTTACAATATTTTATCCCTTTTTTCCCACTTGTGGAATAGAACAATATTAAATCACTTACCCTTGATCTTACAGGTTTTCTGTCAATGCTATGTTAAGCAAAAGGACTATATAATGAAAAATTTGGCGTAGTTTGTGGATTCAAAACTCAACAGGTCAAATCCACATGTTAATATATATCCAGAGCTATGGAAGGTTTACACAACCAATTATAGAAACAATTGTTAATAGATCTCCAAATGAAGCATAATATAGGTTTCATCATGTTAAAAATAGGTTGCATTTCCAAATTCCATACCTAATCTTGAAAAACACTACAGCAAATCTGGATCACAGTAAATCAAATATATAGGTTTTTGAAAATGAACAGAACTTTGTTTTACTTACTTGGAGGCCACTCGAAAGTATTTCTGGATAAAATAAAAGGCGACCCCAAGAGGCACAAGAGCAACCAGGAACACAGGGGTAGCATAAGAAATCATGCCAATGGCAGACAGGCAGAGCAGTGTTGAGCGAGTTAGAGATTCCAAAGTTGGAGGGATGTGCTATTAAGAAGGTAGTTTGAAAGGAAAATGTTTAAGCTCAAAGAAAATTTTGGTTACAATGCAATAAAACATTCATTTTATATTAATGTTATGTAACTAGTTACAAAAGTAGTATATGAATCTTTTCATTGTAAGCAAGTCTTCACTCCAACTTCACTAACTTCCCATAGTTTAGTATCCATTTATCTACCTATCTACTTATCATCAGTCAGTGTATCAGTCTATTTATCTTGGGAATTTCATGTAAATGGCACTATACTATAAATCTTATTTGTCCATGTGTTCTTGTTTTATTTTACTGGACAAGATAGATTATAAATCTTCCCACATAACCATATACAAATCTCTTTCTTTAGAATGGCTGATACTTTTAAAAAAACAGCTATTTCTCTCCAGTAAGACATTTACATTAATTTTCTGTAACTGCTTGTTCATATCCTTTGCATGTTTTTGATTGGATTAGTTACCTTCCTTTTGATTTTTAGATACTCTTTATAGATTATGGATGTTTTCCTCTTGCTTTATATATGTTACCAGCTTTTCTCCCACTTAATCTATTATATTTTAAATTTGTCTTTGATGCTTTTAACTCAATAGAAATTTAAAATTTTATATAGTCATTTCTGTTGGCCTTTTTCCTTATTCAGAGTTTTGTGTCTTACTTAAAAAGCCCTTTTGTACCCCAAAACTCTAAAACTACTCTCCCACATTTTATTTATAGCTTTATGTTTTTATATGGCTATCTTTATTCCACATGTCTTTGCTTTGTATTTTATGGATAGCTAATTGTCCCAACATCCTTTATTGAAAAAAAAAATCCTTTCTTACTGATTCCAGATACCACACTTATCCTATGTTAAATCTCTCCATATGCTGGTATTTCTGAGTTCTCCATTTTGTTCTTTTGATCTACTTGTTTTCTGTGATCACCAGAGTATTTTATTTTTATACTGTTTTCTGGGTATCTGAAATGGAAATTCTCTTTCTCTATATAGGATTTTTAGGATTTCTGGGATTGTTGGATCTCTTTTCTTCATTTAAGGTTTCTAATTTTGTTTTTGTCATTAGTATGAATAGAATTTATTTTTCACTTAATTTTTCACTTAGTGTAGAGAAAGTTACTGAATTTTATTATACACCTTATGTAGACACTCTTCTGAACTTTCAAATTGGGTTTTCATTGTACCCATTGTCTTGGACTCTCCAAGTGGCAATCATGTCCAAATAAGGACTGTTTTATCTCTTCTTTCCCCATATTCATTCCTTATGAAGAGTTTTAGATGCATTGTGACTGACACCAACGAAACATGAAACATTTTCAACATACTTATAGTCAGCTGCATGCATCAAGCATTCTTTTTCTAAATTGAGGATAATTTAGTTATTCCTAAAGCAACTCTGAAAAATCAGAAAAGACAAGTGCTAGATTTGATGGATTCTTTTGTCCAGTTAACCTAAGAGGTCTCTTCTTGGAGTGATCCAGTTTTAGAGATTGAGGACTTTAATTTCAGGACCAACTTCTAGAGGCATAAGGATCTAAAACTAAACTGGGTATCTCTGTAATATTTTCTAAAATATCACACCATTGCCTCATGCAAGAGCCCATCTAATTGAAATAAAGGACCTCTAAGACGCCTTGGCATTCTATCCTTTGCTTATGGAAGACACTCTGCATCAATATTAAACTCTTAAGAACTTTACTATGAATGGAGATACAACACTGACAAAATTATTCCTTTTTTAATAAAAAATTATATGTTAGTTTATTCTTTGCTATTTTTCTTTATTTCATTCTGATCCCCTAAGTATCCTCTTCCCACATAAATTATTTTGAATTAAGGTTTCCTTTAAGTTTTGATTCCAGAAATCATTTATGCATATAATATTGATATATATAGGCTTTCATTTAAGTTTTAGATGTTCTCTATGGCTAACAAGAAACATGGTTTATCTTAAATGTTACTTTGCTTATAATGAAAAAAATTATTTTTGAACTTGGAAGTAACTCAGGCACTTACCTGATCGATGATATTTGTATCAGCTGAGAAGCGATTGAGAATCAGTCCCAGGGGGGTGGTATCAAAGAATCTAGGCAATAAACAACACACTGGAATGTATAATACACATACATTGGTATGTATAATAATACTAAGCTATCTGGAACCTAAGCAACTAATGGACATCTTGGAGTCAAGTAAATGAGAAGGTTCCTATTCATTTATTTAAAGACTGAACAAACGCACTAAAATTTCACATTTCACTTAAAGATGCATGTTTTTATGATTTTATGTGGGGAAGTAAGAAATTAGTTACTTTTTTACCTTATTGGTCCAAGAATTATCTTATTGAGGAGATTGTGGTGAAGATTTTTGGCAGCTGTGAGACCCATCCATTCTACAGTGAGAGATGTCACAAGGCAGAGGAAAATACCTGCTCCGCAAAGTATGCTAAATCCGGCCACATAGTAGGTCTAAAAACAACCAACACACAAAAAGACACAGCTTTTTCTTACTAGAACACCAAATATCGAAGTCAGACAATATCTGTAACTTCATTATCTTGAGTCAATTTAAGCAGTTTAAGGAGAGCGGTTTTTGGAGAACTAAAGATAGTACTGCAACCATAGCCCTAAAGCCAAGTCCCCCACCTATTTCCTTCACTCTCTTCCAAGCGCAGATGAGACATTAGAATCTGTTTTCAGGTTTGAAATATTCTTGGCTTTCTACACTGTAGAGCTCCTCCTTACTATCCCTAATCTCAGAATGACCAGCTAATATATTGGCATAGGTAGTTAAAATCAATACTATCAAAACAACAACAAAAGTGCTGTGTATAAGTTACAAACACACACACACACACACACACACACACACACACACATCGAGTACATATACCTCCCCTAATCCAAAACCAAACATTATCATTAAATGTTTCTTACAATAAATTTTGAAACACAAAAGTTATCATAATAAATTCCGTTTTGACAGTTCATTCTATTTCAGGTCCTGTTCTAATTAACTTACTGAATCATTATAAAAATCCTATGGCATTTGGGATTCTAATATCAAACTAAATAAAAGGGTATCACTGTTAATCTCAGCATTATTTCCTTGATGATTTAAAAACAGAATTCATTATACCTGATCAGCTTTTCCAGTATTATTTATACTGTACTCTGAAGTCCATGTGGCCAGCCAGTAGTCTATAGCCACAATGACTGAATGTTTCAAAAGCTTAGAAAAAATCATCAGGAAGAGCAAGAAGAATCCTCCAGAAGTAAGGTACCGCCAGCAGGTTTTCCACGGCATTTTAGTCCTGAGCCTCATTACAGTGGACATATTATCATCCTCATCTTCCTCCTCTTCTTCCTCTGCAAATAGAGTATTAGTTTAAGCTTTATTCAGTCAACAGTAGATAGAATTTGTATCATCCTACAAAAAAAGCATACAAAAATATCCCTCAAAATTCTAGAAATACAAATGTTAGTCTTAGAAATTGTGAATGCTTTTAGCAGGGAAAAACTTCATTTAAAAATGGTGAAGAATGAATGAATGGGCAAGGCAATAAACAACATCTATATCCAGATGAGATAATTTGCCAATTTATTATACACCAAATTGACAGAAGTGTAGACTAGAAATTTACAAGGTTACTGAAACAATTGTGTTGCTAATAAAACCACAGGCCTGTTATGCAAACACAATCTTTTGTACTCTAAATTTCTGGATTCATAAAACTTCACCAGAAGGAAATAGACTCTGAAATTTGTAGATACCCAAAAGGGCATAATCTATAGTCTCTATGGCCCATTTTAGATGCGGTCATGGAGGAGCATGAGCAAGAAGAAACCTTCCAGAGGGCAGAGGACAGTAGGCAGGGAGGTCCTCTCAGATGTTTAAACCACCTGGCAACTCCAAGATGGCTGTCCTAAGAACACACTTCATTATGAAGACAGGGAATTTTGGCATTTCCTGATTGGCAAAATGTGATTATTTGTGTGGTCCAGGGTCTGTTGTGCATTGCCCATCATTTCCTTTTCCAGAGATAGTTTTCATTGCAGTTGTCTGTTTATATATATTCCACTACTGTATATTGAGCAGGTTGTGGGTAGGAAAGATGGATAACCTGTCTTTGGTTTATAGCTTCAGACCACACAGATCTAAAAACGGACACTATGGGAAGACTGAGCATCACCAAAGATCCTAATATTTTGAGCTGGATGCAGTAAATGAACAGATCTCAGATAATCTGTCCTTTGGTAGAGGTAGATTCAATGTGTGGTGGCTGGAATGGACATACTGACCAGGACCTGGAACAGCAACCTAGTGGGAAATATGTACCATACTGGGCTTTTGAATATTCATTACCTCATTTTATTCTGTAAGAAAGTAGTACTGTCTTCTTTTATCCTTGAGAGAATGGATTAACACAAGAAGCCCAGGGTACAGTACCCAGCCATATACCCACCCCTGGAACGCTGGAGAGAGTAACATGGCATGACTCCACATTTAGAGTGCATTAGAAATAACTGGTTTAAAATTCTAGAGGCTGATGTCTGTTTACAGCACCAGACATTCTTTAAAAATATTTTTAAATCTAAGGAATTGAAGTGCAAAATCAATTCATTCATTGTTCATTCATTCATTCTCTCCATGAGTATTTGCTGAAATACTAAATAGTTCTCATCTGAAATGTAAAGGTAGCACATTTTGGTGTTCTTTGGCCTGAAATTACAATTTTCTCTGTTTCTTAATTGGCTTGTAACAATGCAGTCTTAAGCAAAAACTGTATAGGAAACATGAAGTATAGTGTATTTACCTTAAGGACTTAAGTGCAATTTATCTTATAAACTTCTTGGCAACAAATGTCAAGGCAATGTAATTATTTCATCTCATTCCTCAATTTTCCAGGAACTCATTTTTTTTCTCTACTGTACATTAATAGATCCAGACAACTGAAACATAACAAACGGCTTTTGTGGAATTCTCTTATTCTTCATTGTTGTATTGTCATGAAAACTCCACAAAGACTTACTGAATGATTCAAATATAAGGATTTCAAAATGGTACTTTCTTCCTATTCCCTATTTATTGTTTATTTCTTAAGGACTGACATTTTATTAATAGCTTGATTTGGTCATTCTACTAGACCTTTCCAACTTCTACAAACAAGGGCCTAGATCTACTTACAAATACTGCCTTTTCCTTTCTGCTCTCTCTCACACAGCACAAACACCCTGAGACACACTTAGAAACCGCTCATGATGCCTGTTGATGGATTATGTACACCTTTCCTTTGCTCCTTTTCTTTTCATTTCATTTTCAGTATTATGTATTTGGTTTAGGTCTTTCCCCCCCCTGGAAAGTGGCTCATTCTTCACAGCCACACTCGTGCTTCAGTTGCCAAGGTAGAACAGTCACATCCCCCTTAAATGTTTCAGATACAAAAGAAAGATCTACCTTCATCTTCATCCTCCATTTGGGCTTTGGCCTCTCTCGAATACATGGCTCTTCGGAGGGTTTTCCTCTCCAACGTTGTTTGGTCCGCTTCCATATCCTATAGCAAACATTGTACTATCATTCAAGAAGCTCACAACCACAGGAAGATTTTGACGTACCAGTCAGTGACCCACAGGTACCAATCGTTCGTTACCTTTGTCAGTCCCGGGCTCTCTGTAGAAGAGCCACAACTCCTACCACAGGAGTACTTGTGAGTACTTTGTAAAGCTTCAGAGCTTAGAGGTGTTGGGCAGTAAGAAGCCAGGAAAAGTAGCAACAACACAATGGAGCTGACCCCAGAAAGAGGGACACCTCCTCCCACCTTAAAGTGCAATTCCACCAGTGCTACTTCTATCTCTACATCCTTTTCAGATACTCCCTGTAATTCTCTAACTAAAGATTTATTCATGGTAAAAAATATCTTCCTTTAAAAATGCATGCAGTTCTAGACTGGTTCAAGTACTATCACTCATCCCCTCTTATTATAAATTATTAAATCAGAGTGAGTTTCTTTAGCATCTCACTAAGGTAGCTGCACAAAAGAAAAGGACTTCAATAGGCATTGAAGGAAGGTAGGTAATTTTGAAGCAAATGAAAAATGAGGGTACTTAGGTGCCTAGAAGTCTAGGAGGAAGCCCCAGGAGGAGAAAATACACAGAAAGAGAAAGGAAATGTGCCCTGAACAGACTTTGTGAATTTTTCAGGGTTGCTTCAGACTTGTTCTGTGTTCAAGAAAGGGAGGAGAATTTCATTTTCTCCACTCCTCTGCCTCAAACACCCTCGTCCCTGTGGCTTTGGAACTGGACTAGTGGTATCTTTCTGATACACTGTGGGTTAAGTCAGCTGCTGCTGGACAGTTTGGGAAACTAACCATATCCTTGTTTGTACGGGAAAATGCATTCTGAATTCCAAAAAACTGACCCACAGACTTTTGGAATCTGGTAAATTGAGGGCTTTCTGTATATGTGCTTCCTCCCCCTCTCTGACACCCACACACACCCACACACACAAATTGCAGTTTGTTACATCAATAAACTAATAAACCCTTATTGGTCAGTCTCTAGGTAGTGATCATGGTTGTTGTTGTTGTTGTTGTTTTGGCCTCTTACACAACATGTGTGATACAGGATACTTGCTAGAAGGCTCTATTGCCTCCAGATTCTTGGTTAAAAAAGAATGAAAACTAAAGTGTCTCTTGAATAGTGTTTCTTTTTTCGGAGACAATTTCATATCAGCTTTAATTCTGCCTAATGATATGAAAACTAATGCTTACAAATGTGATTAAACACAAAAATAAAGATGACTTGTTCCTTCATGTGTAACGTGATCAAATTGGGAAACAAGATGTGGTTCTTGTTCAACTCTCCATGCTGTGTGAGTAAAAGATTTAACATCTAAGATGCTTTAAAAAAATCTTTACTCATTTCTCTTATAAGTAAATGCACGTATTAAGCTCATTACAAGTTAAATATTTTAAATTATGTTGATACTTGGCTTAAGTATATGTGAATTTAGTTTAATTTATCTAATAAATATTTATTGAATACTTGTTAAGGATCGGATCAGGGGGAGGGCTGGAGACTGGGGGAGGAAACATCAAATGATGCTAGTTTATTTTGCTTAATATTATGATGAAGATAATGGTTGTCATCCAAGCTAGAATTTTTGATAACATTTAAGTCAGCTAAAAGTGTTAACTCCTTCTCTTTGTTGTAGTTTTCATTGCTATCCTTTTAACATATTCGTTTGTTTCCCCCATACCCCTTATTAAACTGGCAGTTCTGTCCAAAGCTCAGTGACAGGATACTTTGTTTTGCCATCCTTCTCTGCTTGCTTGATCTGCTTTGGCTCTAGGTTTGTCTTTCTCAACCGTGGCACTATTTACATTTTGACCAGACAACTCTTTGTTGTGGGGGCTGCACTGCAGGATGCTAAGCAGTATCCTTGTCTTCTACCCACTAGATGCCAGAGGCACCTGCCCCTCCACTGTGACAACCAAAAACATTTTTAAATGTTGCCAAATGTCCTCCAGAAAGCAAACTGGGCCCTGGTTGAGAACTGGTGCTCTAGGCAAACACTCGATCCTGCCACACAACAAAGTGAACAAGAGACTGTTTTCTCCACAGTGTGATTCTCCCTGCTTTTGGATGAATTTCAGGTGCCTGCCCTTCCTTAGGTGGCGGTAACCACCCTCTATCACCAGGTGAGGATTCTGGACAGGTGCATGGTTCATACTGGCTTTTACTGGCCACTGTTCAACCTCACAACTGCATTTGTTCTGTCCACACTCTAACTTGCTCCATATCTCCACCAGCTGATTTATAACCCTGTAATGTGTCTTTAATTATAGAGCTATGCTATCTCAAGTGATCTCTTCATTTCTAAATACAACTTAATGGACTTTCTTCCTGGCTTGTTTAATAGTCAGTATTACTATAAAATCAAGCCAACAACTTTCTCCGTCTTTTTTTTCCAGATCTTTTTTCCAAAGTAAACCATAAGTGGCCGCACTCCTTAAGTTTACGTCATATCCTTTTGTCCCTGGCATCTAGGTCACCATAAAAAAAATGTCATTTGGAGCCATCCCAATAAGTTTATAATCAAGTTTCTCACAGTATAATTCCTAAGTGGGCTCTTGCTGATTGTACCTTATATATATTTTTTGATGAATATCTTCATTGGAATGGTTCTGTGATTTTTCCTATTCTACCTAAAGATTTTTACTTACATCTTTTCTTTCTTAGGTAATTTGTTTTTGAGATCTTTGGCAAATCTGGAGAAGACAGACAAATGCTAGGGTCTGTCTGACTTTTTATCTTCGTCTCTCTATGGAAACATAGATCCTTTTATTCTTTTATAAAATAAGTCATTTTAATTTCTGGATATTCTCAGAAATTTGCTGATGTAAAAATTTCATTTTATAATGCTCATTCCATGCCAGGAGTAACAAATTCTGGACACTTCCTAGGCTCGACTCAAAAAACACTTCAAAAATTTACTAATGTAATTTATAATTTCACCTTTCAACTACAAGTTGTTCTTTCATTGTACTCAGTCTGGTTTCTGACTCTGTTATCACCTCATTCAATGTAATATAACATAATACATAACACTATATTGGAATTACATTGACTACAGACTTGGGTTTAAATCCAACTAGTACTACTTATATGTACTACACAACTTATAAGTTATGTAACCTTTCCGGGCTTCAGTTTTCTCATCTCTAAAAGTGAGATCATATTTTCTTTACTTATTTCCCATATTGTATTTACTTTTTTTCTGGGGATTTGTGAAAATTAAATGAGATTGTGGACTTGAAAAACTACATCCATGTAAAAGTTAATTGTTATTTCCTCCTGATCACGTTCCTTCACTTCCCAGCCCTATTCCAGACATGCTTGGCAATTTCACCTACAGCTCACAGTTCTTCCTTCTTTCAAAATCATCTTAGATTTTGTTTTGATCACTGCCCTCCATTTGTAGGTGGTGAGTGAAAATTTCCTCATATTACAGATGAAGAAAATGAGATACACAGAAGGAAAAATAAGATAAAATAATGATATGCCATGCTTTATAAAATTGTTTTTTTAGACACATAATTGTAATATCATTCAAATTCAAATCAAAATTCTCTAAAAACCTGAGACTACTTCATCCAAAAATATCATTAGAATTTTATAGTTTCAAAGTAACCTATTTATTAACTATATTATTAATTATATACATATACATATACACATACAATTACTTTGGGTTTCAAATGAGGACCATTGTATCATCAATATTAAATAATAATACTTCTTTAGAAGAATTTTTGATAATTATACAGTATATTTATGACTCTTCTGGAGTGGATTCTCAACTCTTCTGAACTATGAGCAATTACCTTTTCTAATTCTTGATCTTGCCGATTCATAAGTGTTTTCCAGTGTTCATAAAGCTCAACATCTTTGGTTTGAATGTCCTTCAAAGTCCCTTCTCTTAGTACACTTCCATCCTTCATGGCTATGATCTAAGCAAAGCACATATTAGCAGAACTGTGACAAAAAGCCCTAATTGGCCAAACGAATTACTTTTTCCTCAGACAGGATTTCTTAATGTGCCTATTTACTTATATGACTATAACAATAAAATTAATGGTTTTTTTTCTTTTCTTTCTTTATTTAAATTTATTTATTTTTAATTTACATCTAAGTTAGTTAGCTTATAGTGCAACAATGATTTCAGCAGTAGATTCCTTAATGCCCTTTACCCATTTAGCCCATGCCCCCTCCCACAATCCCTCCAGCAACCCTCTGTTTGTTCTCTGTATTTAAGAGTATGACACTTCTTTTAAATTCTTACCCAGTCAGCATGTGTTAGATACTGTAATTTGTGAGTTACAAGAACAAGTGTCCTTTTGTCATCTTGGAGAAATTTCAAAATCCCTTCCTGCATTAAGTGATCACTCAAGTGAATGTCCAGGGCAGAGAATGGATCATCCTACAACCAGTAAAATGGAGAGAATGTGAAACATTTTCTATATTCTGGATGTAACTCAATTTCTTTAGAAAGTAGAAATACAAATAACTAAGAGCAAATTATCCTTAATATATTTATAAAAAACCAGACTGTATATGTTTAAATTGTTGGGAAAAAGTATTAAATTAAAAATGAAGCTTTTATTTTCTCTTTTACCTTAAAAATTATTCAAAAAGTGAATAATAATATCCAAAGTGGTTTACATTATTATATCTAGAATCTTCAAGCTCAAAAAACAACACTTCATGACAACCTTTAGCAATAGACTAAACAGGGGTGCCTAGGTGGCTCAGTTGGTTGAGTGTCTGACTCTTGATTTCAGCCCAGGTCATATATCACAGTTTGTGGGATCAAGCTCCACATAAGACTCTACGCTGACAGCATGGAGCTTGCTTGGGATTCTCTCTCTCCCTCTCTTTCTCTGTCCTTCCCCCACTCACATACACTCTCTTTCTCTCAAAATAAATAAATAAACTTAAAAAAAATAAAAACCCCACAACAGACTTAACAAAAAATAAAATAATTCTAGAGTTGAAATTTAGAAAATAAAAATAGGCATAGACTCCACATCAAGATGGCGACATAGGAGGCTCCTAAATTTCCCTCCTCCCATGGATGCTTTGACTATGCAGCTACACACAGAACAATTCCTTCTGAGAGAAATCCAGAAACTAGTTGAGTGACTTCTACACATTGGAAAACTGAGAAAATACCCCATTTAAAAGACAGTAAAGGCTAGACAACTCTCACCACAAACCTTACCCTCTGCTCAGCACCATACAATTGGAGAAAATCCCCAACTCCCAACTTCTCTTTGAGGAGTGAAGGGTTGGGGCCATACAGCTAGTGCCTCAAATTTTATGGCTGCTATCCAAGGGGCAGGCCCCCAAGTCACTTAGCTTTGAAAGCCAGTGGGGCTTGCATTGATAAGTCCCACAGAAATACAGGAAGCAAAAAAGCAGTTGTTAACACACATGTGAGCACTTACTACATCTATCCTTCCAGGACTCAGAGCCAAAGGGGCAGGCAAAAAACAAACAAACAAACAAAGAAAAAACAAAAAACAAACCCTCTTCCCAGTCTTTTCCTGAGCAGAGTTTGCATACTTTACAAGCTACTACCTGAGGGTACAGCTTCTAATTAGCATGAATGTGGGTGCTGATTGTGATCCTCCCTGTAGACTGAAAGAGCTATTGGAAGATGGCTCAGGTCATGATGTCATGGTTCGTAAGTTCAAGCCCCCCACATCAGGCTCACTGCTGTCAGCACCAAAGCTATCAAGGCAGAGCCCTCTTTGGAGGTTCTGACCCCTCTCTCTCTGCCCCTCTCCTGCTTGTGCTGTCTCTCTCAAAAATAAATAAACATTAAAAAAAAGAGAATGAACTATAGAAAGGTAAATTAAGAAAAAAAATCCCATTTACAATCACTCAAAAAAAAAAATTAAAATACCCAGAGTGAATTTAACCAAAGAGGTGAATATCCATCCATATACTGAGGATGTTGGTGGAAAAATTAAAGAGATGAACAAATGGAAAGATACTCTGTGTTCATGAACTGGAAGAATTAATATTAATAATAAAATGTCCAGCTAGTGAAATCCTTAGCAAAATTCCAATAATATTTTTCTAAGAAATAGAAGAAAAATCTTAAAATTTATATGGAACTACAAAAGACCCCAAATAGCCAAAAAAAAAAAAAAAAGAAAGAAAGAAAGAAAGAAAGAAAGAAAGAAAGAAAGAAAAGGAAAAAATCTTGAGGAAGAACAAGGGTAAAGACATCACATTTCTTGATTGCAAACTATGTTACAAAGCTATAGCAATCAAAAGTATGATATTCGCATAAAAAGTGACACATAATTAATGGAACAGAATAAAGAGCTTAGAAATAAACCCATGTGTATATGGCCAATTAAATTTTGACAAAGGAGCCAAGAATATACAATGACGAAAAGATAGTTTCTTCAATAAGCTGTATGGGAAAATCACAAAAGACTTGACGAAACTGGACAACTTACACAGCACACAAAAATCAACTTAAAATAGATTAAAGACTTAAATAAAAATCTGAAACCGTAATAGTCTTAGAAGAAATTATAGGAAGCAAGCTCTCTGACATTGGTCTTGGCAATGATTTTTTTGGATTTGACACCAAAAGCAAAGGCAACAAAAGCAAAAATAAACAAGTGAGATTACATCAAATTTAAAAGCTCTGCACAGCAATGGAAGCCATCAACAAAATGAAAAGACCACCTATAGAATGAGATAAAATATTTGCAAACTACATATTCAGTAAGGGGTTAATATTCAAAACATGTAAGGAACTCATACAACTCAATAGCAAAAAAGCCCAAATAACCCAATTTAAAAATAGACAAAGGACCTGAACTGACGTTTTCCAAAGACATACAAATGGCCAACAGGTATATGCAAATGTGCTCAACATCACTAGTCATCAAGAAAGTGCAAATCAAAACCACAATAAGGTATCACCTCACACCTCTTAGGACGTCTATTATCAAAAAGACAAGAGATGACAAAAGCTGGTGAGGATATGAAGCAAAAGGGAACTTTTGATGGGAATATAACTGGTGTAGCCACTATGGAAAACAGTATGTAGATTCCTCAAACATTTTAAAATACAACTACAATACCATCCCATGTCTTCATATATGTCCAAAGGAAATGAAATCATGATCTCAAAGAGATATCTGTTCTCCATGTTCTTAGCAGCATTATTCACAATAGCCAAGGTATAGGAGCAACCTAAGTTTCTGTCAAAGATGGGTAAGATGTATGAATAAAGAAAATGTTTCTCTCTCTCTCTCTCTCTCTCTCTCTCTCTCTCT